AAGGAGGATCTGGACCTCACCATCATCCTCAGTACACGCTGGCGCCTCTGAGACTTTGCATAATCCTCATCAGACGCTGCGGTAAAGATTTCAGGGCCAACTTCAGACGGTATGTAATCCTGGCTTTCATATAACGTTTCGCTTCATTGGCAATCAGATGTGTCATTGTCGTCGTCGTGGTCACCAACCATATTTCAACACTTTATCACGGCCAGGTTTGCCTGTCAGGATGCAGCTCGTCACCGTCGTTAGCATCGCCACCAGTACATCTCCGTAGCCATCTCGGTTCGAAGCCTGTAGCGCGAGCGCGACTTTGAGTCGCCATCCACTGATGACATTCGTAAGCTGCTCGTGAGGCGAACACTTTCTGTAATGCGTCGCAGGACGCATGGGCTCCACTCGGCATCACCCTAACATACTTATACTATATGTGCTTCGCCCCCCCGGAGGCGACGCGCGCACCGAAAAATCTTATAGTATATGCGTCGTGGGGGGCGCTTTCTGGCCACACCGCTCGGGAAGCGATATACTACAAGATGGGTATACTATTTATTCGGGTCGGATGCGCGCCTCCAAGGAGGACATATAGTACTAGTATGTCTTTGTGCTTCCCATCCACTAACGCAACTATTCGGAAGAGACCCGTGCAAAAGAAGCCCAGTGTACCTCTTCCGCGCAAGTCCTTACAAACGAAGCCAGCAGCAACACGTTTGCGAATGAAGAATAAGGAAGGGACGGCGTCGAAGCTCAAAGGCAATGATCTTCAGCGTGCTGCGAGGGCACCTGATCGCTCGGCCTCTGACGAGCTGAGGACAGCCATTTCTGCGTTCGCATGCTCATCAGCTGGCGTGGGCGCGGCTAGCAAAGCTGGGCCGACTGGGCACCCCAGCGGAGCTTCGGACAGAAAAGTTAATGTGCTTTGCCTGCATGGGTTCTCGATGAATGGGGAACAGATGCGCGGAAAATGCCAGCAGTGGGAGACGCATTGTTCTGACATAGCAGATTTTTACTACCCGACAGCGCCGTTTCCTTTCGATGGTGACGACGTAGCCATTGCCGAAGTTCTTGGGCTGCCATTTCACTCTAATATGCGGAGGTGGGCGTCATGGACGTCATCACGAGAATTTATTCAGAGTTTTGTTGATAATGAGGTTGCTGGTGAAATCGACGTCATTCTCGGGTTTTCGCAAGGTGCTTTGATCGGTGTAAAAGTTCTGAACGAATCATGGGATAGCGCCTACATGCGAGATTTTAAAGCCGCTGTTTTCATCGCGAGCCCAAAGATGAAAGCATTGCCCAATAATGCAGACTTACCTACACTCCACATTGTTGGAGCGAGCGACGAAATTATCGACGTGGAAGATTCTAAAATACTGGCCGCCGGTTTCACGAATCCAACGATTGTGCAGCACCCTGGGGGGCACATGGACTTTCCCAGCGAGGCCAATCGTTCGATTCGCAGTTTATTGGAGCTGGTTGCCGCTGGTGCAAGTTGAATGCTGTCTCACAGATTCTGCACAGACTCACCCTTCGCAATCTGTTTGAACTACCACGGCTTACTCAACACAGTTTGCTCATGATGCTTGTGGCAGCCGCTTTCTTGACCAGGAGACTGGTCAAAATCCGATGAAGGCGACACTTTTGAACGGATTGGTGCTTAGGTGATTTCCGCCATTGGTAATTTTACATGGGTACTGGCACATATATATACATATATATATATACATATGTATACATCCCCAGGATGAAAGTTCTTCCATTTTGGACCCAGAACGACGGTTTGAGGTCTTGAACAGGCGTATGAGATAGCCGCCGTCGGACCCCATGAAGGTCGAGCGGATCCAAGTGCGGTTATGGTTTTTATTTCGGTGGATCCGATTTCCGTCCGCGCGGATCCGATCTCGGATTTTCTGGATCCGCGTCCGGCCTCATTTTTTGACGGTGGATCCGATTTCTACCCCGTTTTAAGTTTATGTTAGTAAGTTAAGCCGGGAAGCTGGACGACATCGGATCCGCGGACCCCAGAGCCCGCCCGTGTTGAGATTCTACAGGGGGAAGGGGGTTCGGTCATCAACGTCCCAGGATGGGTCCTGTGCTGTCTCGTGCGCTCCCATCAACTTTCCGCGCGCGGGGGCCCCACTCAGCACGAATGCGTATTTCTCCTCCTGGACGACCTGCACGTAGCTCGTCCAGACGCCGTCCGTTCGGCGGCGCCGATGTCATCTGTTGAACTCATCATCGTCATTTTCACCTCAGGAGGAAAATCTTCCGCCCTGCGTAAGTATGCCTGTGTGTATACATACATCATGATCACGATGCGATGTTCCTCTGTTTTGCCTTCCGCTTTCTCGTTGCGTCTTTGCAACCTCCCTGCGCGGCTGGAGTGTGGTGATGTTGCTGTAGGCGATGGTAAGCTTGCGCATGATGCCGGCCTGCATGGGCCTTTGTTCACATGCAGGTTTTGGTTGTCTTAGAAACGCGTAAGTCAGGAGCGAAAGAAGGACGTACATGTACATGAATCCGCGCTGGTTTCGAGAGCACGCATTGCACAAATGTTCCTACAACGCGGCCGGTCTCGCGAATCGAAGGGCCGTGTTCATGTACATAGCTGGGCGCGTACGTCTTTTGTGGGCTCCCTAGTAAGAGCGTCTTCCCTCGAAGGTGGTGGCAGGAGACCAACATATTTTTCAAAGAGTGCACAGTGAGTGAATTGTCTATGTCGCCTGCGGCTCACTCCGGTCGCGCCCGTCGAACATCACAGGAACAGGGTACGTGTGTAGCAGGTTCTCGCTCGTGGGTCGTTCTACAGTGAGGGCGCGTGCCAAGAAACCAGTTGGATTTTGCCAGGGTGCCCTGGGTTTCTTGGATTTTGATGGGCTCCCAATCAGATCTTGACGATTTTCGATCGACACAGGTGAATTTTCACTGAACAAATCGCGTATTTCAGGGTTGGGTTTCTTGCGGAGGTTTCTTGTGGCCGAGCCCCCACTGTAGACGCTCTTGAGTCTTGGATGCCATCTTGGCGGCCTGTTGGGAGCCCTTGGGGCTTTCGAGGGCATCCTGGGAAGCCCTGGGGGCTGCCGAAACGGCCTTGACTGCCATGGCCATGCTGGGGGCGTCTTTGGGGCTAGTTGTCATGGCGCCAACATCGCAGGCCAGATTTCGTTTGGAAAACGATAGGATGGGCCCGGAGTGTGTCCTGGAGAATTTCGTTCCGGATTTCGAGGTGAAATTCGTGCGGATTCTGTTGGCCAGGAATCAAGACTAAAAACATCCACGCGAAATTCACTTCGTTTTTCACTCGCGTTTTCGGGGCTTTGCGTTGACTGAGATCCACGCAAAAATCCGCTGCAGCACGTCTGCAAGGTCGGTGCAGTGACAGTTAGGGGGCATCTTGGTCCACATGAGGAGCCTCCAGGGGGGGCTCGGGGGAGTGGGCTTCCTACCCCTGCCGCCAACGAGAGTTTGCACGCGGTCTCAGCGCCACAAGGCGTGGCCAAGGGCTCTGCCCTGTGTCGCTGGCTCCCGTCTTGGGAACATCTGAGGGCGCATGCCCCGATGGTCACGGCCAGCCCGGTTCCGTAGCTAACTAGCGTCCTGCCGTGTTCGTCAGTGAGGTTTTTCCTTCACTCTCTTCTGTTCGTATGGCGTCGCTGCCGCACACGCAGGCAGAACCCTATGTGCACCCGTTCCCATGAAACCCATCTCCAGCTCAATTTCAGCATTACTTTCTACCTCAATCTTGTCATTTCTATTCCTCATTCGATTTCTGTTTGTAATTTTCCTTCTCTTGCTTCTTGGCCTTCTCCTCCAACTACGCCTCCCCTCGCCAGGCATCGTTGATCCAGGATTGGTTGTAACCAAGCTCACCGACATCGCAAATGCTGGCGATGAGGAGGTCGCAGTGGAGGACACGGAGGGGAGGGAGAAGGGCAAAGGAACATGATACTCATCGAGAGTCAATGGTTGATGACGGAAAACGTTGGCCGACTAATCTTTGCACCCTTGCTTGGCTCAGAGTAGCTAGACTTGGCACGGCGTTCAAGGTATTGAGGATCTTCTTGGAGAAGGTAAGGATGGACATGTCTCTCGCGGCGTGGTGTTTCTTGCTGTTGTGGGGTTTGGCAAAGCCCACGTCAGTTTCCCCAGGAAGGGTATGCTTGATCGAATGTGTTCTTCCTGGAGCGTCAACCTCCAACATAGCCCCACCTCCCCCAAACACAAGGAACCCGTACATCTGCTCTCCCCTCCGCAAGGAGGGGGGAGGTGGGGAGGGGAACGCGGAGGGGACACTAATTCTGCATGCTCTTGCCGCCCCCGGTGAAGGGACGGCGTAGTGGCGCGGCGTGGGCAGTGTCGCCACGCATCCGAAATCCAGGCCGTCCGAAGGTTGGCATTGGCGATGGGGTCGGCAAGAGGATTGGCCCGCCGACGATTTCAACGAGTCAGCGGGGCGGACTTCTTTGACGTGTGTGCTGCACTGCGATCTGAGACCCGGACGCGACGGCCATCTCAGCTTGACGTGAGGCCATCGCATCTTTCCTTGCTAGGTTGCACTGTTGGCTGGTGGGGTACACGAATAACGGGACGCTCGCGAGAAAACATGAGAGGAGGAGCACGTAAGTCCCCGAGAGAATGTTTAGTTGGTTTTATGTTCGATGGAGAGATGCTCCTCATGTCATGCAGCCAATTCTTACTCTCAATTGAGAAGGTGGCACAAGGTATTTTAGAAAGTTACCTTGTCTTGTCTTCGCAGCCATGGCCTACGACCGAAAACCAATTCCTGACAATCGAGCGAACCAAGCAGAGACGAAAGGAACCATGAGGATGAGGATTCAAGGAGGACGAGGTTTTCTTTTTTTCACGATGCTCCAAACTTGTCCCTTCACATGCGTCTCCTGATCAAGACCTCCTAGTTTCACTCCTGTGCTTTCCCTTTACCATCTCCTAAAGGACGCAACCAGATTCCACGGCGACGACGTGCTCTTCATCAAGAGCAGGATTCATTCTTTGTGCGTTGCCGCAGTGTTGGCACGATTCGGCCGCGGGCGAACAGTGCAGGAGCATGCTCTGGGCAAGCGCGTGGGTCTCGCACAGGCCGTCGCCCCACCAGCGCTGCCACCACTGCCTGCCTCTGTCACGACGGGTGGATGGCTGACGTGATGGCTTCAGTTCATGCTGTCAATCTGGTTGGCGACTGGGTTGTCTTCCTGCGATCTGCGACTGGGACCGCGACTGCGACCACGGTTGCCACTAGAGTTACTGCTTCTACTCTTCGTAATCCTCGGGCTTTACTGCTGCCTGCACTGTTTTTATGGTTGCGGCTGCCGCTGCTACATGTTTTTTTACCGCTAGTACGAGAGTGGCACCTTACTTACGTCTGGGAAGGTGTGATTGTGGGTTTGTATTTCGATTTGGGTGCATGTCTACGTTTCTGCTGTCAAACGGAATGTCGTTGTGCACGTCGATAGCGAAACCGGTACCACTTCAAACTGGAAATCGTTCCACGGCTGGGATCGGACCCACGTGTCTTTTCCTCTTATGAAGTTGCAACTCGAGCTCCCGCGAATTGTCTAAGCGCCTGGGGCCAGCTCCTTCGTACTATTCCCCAGTCAAGTAGTGCAATCCGTGCGCCTCTTCTCGACGGCGGGTCGTTGTTTTTTTGGGGCAGCAGTTGTATTTCAAGAGGTTACCTGGGCGGCTGGGATCGGCTCCACTCTAGTTTTTCCGTTCGAAGGGGGTCACATCACACGGATTTCTGAGGGCGGCCGGGACCGAGGAGGAGGAGGAGGAGGAGGAGGAGGAGGAGGAGGAGGAGGATGAGGATGAGGATGAGGATGAGGAGGATGAGGATGATGATGATGATGATGATGATGATGATGATGATGATGATGATGAGGAGGAGGAGGAGGAGGAGGAGGAGGAGGAGGGAGGAGGAGGAGGAGGAGGGAGGAGGAGGAGGAGGAGGAGGAGGAGGAGGAGGAGGAGGAGCATGAGCATGAACGGCTCTGGCCGTGGTGCTCTTCGTGTAAGATTAGAAGCAATTCAAGCAGCTGCCGTGCGCTCGCCTGGAGCAGCTGTCACCGCCCACCAAACCACCGCAACCCAACCCGAAGGCCCCGACTTGCTCTCCATTTCCAGTGGGGGGGAGGAGGAGGAGGAGGAGGAGGAGGAGGAGGAGGAGGAGGAGGGAGGAGGAGGAGGAGGAGGAGGAGGAGGAGGAGGAGGAGGAGGAGGAGGAGGAGGAGGAGGAGGAGGGAGGAAGATTGAAAAAACACACGTGGAACCCGTACCCCCCCCAACCCGAAACTCGGGTCTTCGGGTTAGGCTGGGGTGGCCTGGCAGGTGGTCAATCTGGTTCGACCCAGCGCACCTGGCGCGCCTCGCTCGCCCGCTTCGCCTCTCCCTGGCGCGCCTGGCGAGCCCGGTGCGCTCCGTGCTTCGGCGCCCCTGGAGCACACCGCGCCCAGGCCGCCTGCCGTGCCAGGGGCCCACTGTGCACATGTTGGGAAATGCGCCCGCCCATAGTCTGGGCCTCCCAGATGGGGTCGGAGCAGATGGAGTCGGAGGATCGCGCCGCGTCGCCGATGCATCGGCGATGCGGCTCGATGTGGAGCCCGATTTTCTCCGCGCCGGCGTCGCCGATGCATCCCCGATGCATCGCCGATGTATCGTCGATGCGGCGCGATCCTCCGACCCCATCTACTCCGACCCCATCTAGGAGGCCTTTACGTAGGCGGTGACGCGAGAAAACATACGAACTTATTTCTTTATGTGTATATATATATATGTTTACACAGATATATTCATTTATATTTATAGGTATATGTATATATACACAATATTGATGGCCAAATCATAGCCACTGGAATCCAGAGACGCTCGAATTACCTGCCAGTCTGTGACGGGTGACCGAATGATGAGTTTGTGCTGTTTTTGCTGCTGCCGCTTTCCACCAGTTTCTGGCTCCGTCGCCGCATTTTCACCTTTTCGCCTCCGTCGCCGCTGTTGCCGCCGTTTGGGCCCTCGGCATTCCCCCCTTCAGCCCCCTTCACGGGCCCTCATTGTTTCACGTCGCTGCCGTTGCCGCCGTGTTGGGCCTTGGGCATGCCCCACAGTTCACGCCCAGCGCTGGCCTTGTTTGTCGCACGCCGCCGCTGTCGCCATGGTCGCCGCGTGGGGCTCCGAGCATTCCTTGCAACTCGTGCCCCCCCCCCCAATGGGCCGTGGGCTGTCGCACTTCTCGCGGCCGTCGCCGTCGTCGGCCCCCCCACATTTTGCGCCCCCATTCGCTGTGGTCGTCGCACTCTTCGCGGTCGTCGCCGTCCTCGTCGCCGCTTGGGGCCCCGGGCATTCCCCCAAGCCTCGCGACCACCTTTGGCTTTGATTGCCGCACGTCCCCAAGCTTCGCGCCCGCCACCTGCAATTTTGATCGCAGCGCGTAGACTGCGACCTGTGGGGCACATGCGCGCGCACAAGCGCGCATGCCGTAACCAGTCCGCAGAAGCCATTCTGTTCGGTTCGAGCGAACTCAACACGTAGTTGACGTAGTTGTCCACCAACTATCAACAGCCGCCTTTTTTTCGTGTGGTTATTTATCTATATACTGTTCTCCGAGCGAAATCAAAACGCAGTTATTCAACAACTGTCAGCCGCGCAGAGGTTGCCAGGATGTCCTCGCGCACGCACGCCGAGGTCACAGGGTCCTGGCCACTCGGCCGAAGATGAGGCCATGCGGGCCGCACGCGCGCATGCATGCCGAACACACTCAAGAGCCAGCGCGTACCCACCGAAATCGACCAAATGTTGCCCCGCGGGCCCCGCGTGCGCGTCTTCGCGCGCGCACGCCCATCCTTCAGCATCACCGTTTTTCCCAACACGCACTTCAAAGCATGTGTGTTCCATCGCATACGGCCCCCAAGTGTTTTCCAGTGTAGCATGACAGGCGCTCTGAATGGCGGCGCGTGCACTTCCTATTCGTCCTCATCTTCACCAATTATCGCCAGCGCCATTATTCCCATCGTCGGCGTCATCATCGCCAGGGCCATCATTCCCATGGTCGGCGTCATCATCATCAGCGTCGTCGTCATGATCACCGCCGCCGTCATCACCGTCATCGTCGATGTCGTCATCCTTGTCAAGTTTCTGCGCGCGTCCACTTTTTCATCATGCCCACTAGCACAAATGCTATCACCATCGCTAGCGTCATCATTGCCGCCGTCATTATCATCACCGTCAGCTTATCATCGTCGTCGTCGGCATCATCCCCATCGTCGTCATGAACATCATTATCGTCATCGTCCCAGTCGAGGTTAGCCAGCAGGTTGCGGGTGTGTGGACGAGCATGAGAGGCGGTTTCGCGCGGATGTCAAACTTGTTGCACCCCAGAGTGTGCGCACCTCATAGTGTGCACCAAATAGATCGCATGCACAGAGACGGTATATTGCATCCAACATATTGCACCGCATGGACTGAACCCCATCGGTTGCGCCGCCTAGAGTGTGCCCAACGGATTGCACCCAGCATATTCATGTCCATGTATTGCAAGAGTCGCTGTTTGGGGTCCGTGCGCTGGAATTCTATTGATGCTACTACAGCCGACGTCACCACTACAACCATCACTCCCGCTACAACCACTTTACCACCAGTGTCGTTTTTGCCACGACTGCTACCGCTACCACTATTATACGTGCTTGCTACTGCTGCTGCTGCTGCTCCTTCGCGTACTGCTACCGCTGTTCTGCGTCTATTGACAGTTGTTGTTGTTGTTGTTGTTGTTGTTGTTGTTGTTGTTGTTGTTGTTGTTGTTGTTGTTGTTGTTGTTGTTGAACTCTAACTACTGAAGAATAATTATTGTTGATCCCCCCCCTCCGGCGGACATTGTATTTTTTCAATTGAAGTGCCCCTTCCGGGGCTCGCACCCGGTTTTTAATCAGGGAAAGTCGTGGGCGTCAAACTGCGTTGTTAGCCCCCCGGACAACAACAACAACGGCTCCCGCCTGATACTTCCTCCAAATTTACTCAGGACCCCCGCCCCCGCCTGGGACTTCCTCGCAGTTTACTCAGGCGGAGGCGCTCCCGCCTGAGACTTCCTCGCAAATTACTCCGGACCCCCGCCCCCGCCTGGGACTTCCTCGCAGTTTACTCAGGCGGAGGCGCTCCCGCCTGAGACTTCCTCGCAAATTACTCCGGACCCCCGCCCCCGCCTGGGACTTCCCGCGTCCCGTCCCTCCTAGCATCTTCCCTCCTCCCTCGTCCCTCCCTGCTCCCTTCCCTCCTCCCTCGTCCCTCCGCCCGCCCTTCCAAAGAGAAATAATCCCCCTAAAGGGGGTACGTTCGAATACTAAGAGGGCGGGTATCGAGGGTGTGCCTCGTGATTCATTCAGGATTCACCCTTTAGTCACCCGCCCGCCAGGTTTCGCCCGCCCGATCCGCCTGTTACAGCCCGCCCGTTCGCTCTCTTGGCATCTCGCCCGCCCGCTTTAAGCCACCGCCCGCCCGACCCGCCAGCGAGGGTCCGCCGCCCGACCCGTCCGTTGGCGTCCGCCCGCCCCGCCAGCCCGACCCGCCCCTCAGAGTCCGCCGCTCGACCCGTCTGTCTGGTTCGTCCGTTTGTTTACCTCCTCTTTTGCCCCCCTCCCCTCCTGCTAACCTCTTTCGTCCTCCATCCATCCTCCCCCCCTTGCCCCTTCCCTCCTCCCTCCCTCCCCCCACTCTTTTCCTCCTCGCTCTCCCTTCCTCCTTCCCCCTGCTCTTCCTGTTTTAGGGGCTGCGCCAACTACACGTGGCGAGTAAAAAAGATATACCCCCAAAGGGGTATGACCGAAGACGAAGAGGGTGGGTATCGAGGGTTTGGGATTTACATATTGAGTGACGCGCGCGCATATAAGAGCGATCAGTCTTAAGATGATTGTCGTTGTTGTTGTTGGGGTTGACGGCCAAACCTGAGGGTTCCCCAACCGCCACGGCTACAAACAAACCCCGGCGGGGATCCAAATAG